GACTTCCCCGTGCTCTGGATGCCAAGCACCGAAAGGACATACACTCTCTTGTCCCCTAGCATCTCAGCTAATCTGTCAAAGATTGCCCCGACCCATTCTAATGGTACGTAGGAAGCATCGCCATCCATCAGTTCAACTGGATATCCAGAAATCATCAGTTCGGCTGCAATCCTTGGCAGCTGAAGAAAATGTTCATCTTTTTGGGTATTCACATCCAAAGCCGCATAAATCTGCCCAATTTCCCGCAGAATGTGCTCAAGACCTATTGTAGAGGCACTTATCTCAGCTGACAATGCTTCTAACCTATGCCTTAGATTATCTCCTGCACTGACATTTCCTTCAGAGTGGGCATTCTCCTTCATTTGTGTCCAGCAGGCATGGTATTTCTGTTGCAGCGCATCAAGGTGGTCAGCCGACAAGGCATCCATGAACATTTTCATCCATTCTAGGAAGTACTTTTTGGTGGATTCAGACTCAGACAGGATAATTTTCAGGACTGGCTTCATCAACTCGTTTGGAGGGCATCCTTTTTCCAGCTGCTTCCGCCTTATGGCACGTTTTTGTGACTCGATTTCACTGCGATGCTGTTCAATGCTCACATTCCTCTCTTGCAGGTTGGTGAGTTCCTTGTCTTTGCTACACCACTCATGCCATAATTTTCCTTGAAGAGGCAAGAACTTTTCCTTCACACTCGCTACATTATTCTCCTTGCAGAAGGCCACCAGTGCTTGTGCCATGGCCTTGGCCTCTTTGCAGTCTTCTTTGTCTATATCAAGAAGAAAGCCATATTTGCGAGCAATTCCTGCACACGTGTCCAGGCTGCAACTACTCACTGCATCTTCTAGTGCAACCCTGATTGTGTTTGCCAAATTGTCAACTAAGTCTGCCTCGTTTCTGTTTTTGATGGGTATTTTTATGTTGAGGTTGCGCTTGTCAGCCACTACGAGGTTCTGTTTGGTTATACTCACTGCACTGCCCTCTTTCTCAGTGAGAAGGCAAACAAAGGGCTTTGGGGACTTCAAGAGATCGCGTACAAGCTGCCGCCCTACCTCATTCTCATCAGAAGTGGTAAGCAGGACCACGTTTACAGAAGCTATCTCCTGTATAAACTTAACTTGTTGTTTGTATTCTCTTGCGTCCCCATGGAGGTTGGTGAATGCAATGCAGTTCTCAAACCTGTCGTCAGCACTTCCACTGGGACAGTACCAGGAGATCTCCACAACGCCTTTCATCAGCAGGCACTCTTTGGTGCTGCCCTTGCAGTGTCGATGGAAGAAGGTGTCGTGTTTGTGTTCACTCAGCAGGGCATTCAGGATCTGCGACTTGGAAGAGGAAGGAGAACTCCCAATCCGTATGAAGGACACAATGGGCGTCTCTGCCTGGTAAATCAGTTTGTTCTTATGACTCTTAATTGTGGTCTGCCTTCCCATTATTTCCATCCCTTTCCAGCTCTTTTTAATCTGGCTGAGGGCCCAGAGAGGGAACTCGATCTGGGAGGTGCATGGATTTGGTACCAGGAGGGGCAGTGCAAGCTGGCAGAAGGCGAGCTTTGTTGAAATGTACTGTCTCATGAAATCATCAGCGCAATGAAAAATGGCCATCTGGAGGTCCATGGGATGTATGTGTGTCAGACCTGCTGTAGCAGAGACATTCATTTCCTCATCATTAGCATTTAAAAAGTCACTGTAGATATCTGAGGAATCATCTGAGCACTGAATCCCAAGGCTTGGTGCATTCAATGAACTCAGAATGCCTTCTTTTGCTCTGCTGTCATCCTGGCAAACGAGATACCTTACACGATAGTCCAGCATCAGCAGCTTCTGCAAAAAATAGACAGGGTATTCACTGCCAGTTCTAGGCTTGCTGTTCCGCAGGGAAGTCTTATCGATAATATGAAAGTCTGCCATTCTCATTTTCCTTGGATAGTAATTTTCTAGTCCCAGGTATTTAATCAAATTGCGGAACTCCTGGCCTCTGGAACCCTCATTCATTTCAGGATCATCTGACTGTTGTGCTGCAGGCTTTGATGCATCTTTCTGCTTAGCAGCTGAACAAATATTAATTAGCTCCTGCTTTATAATTTCTTTCTGTAGATCACTGTTAGAGGCTGCATATTCTCCGTTTACAAGGGCAGCCAGATCTCTCGCCAGAGCACCCTCAGGATCACATCCACCGTGCTTTCTGAGGATATCACTGACTTCTTCTGACAGTGAGGTTCCGAAGTGATGCTTCATCCGGGCCAAGCATTTAAACTTCTGTTCGGGAGACGTGTCTTTGCGTTTGGCTGCCATACGCAGGCCTGTCAGGAGCAGGAAAGCCTGAGCCCTGGGAATTGATTGGTTCTTCAGACACACGTAGCGTTCATATGCCTTTTTCATTTCACTTAACATGAAGCCAACTTCTGGCAATGCAAGCAGGTACCGAAAAGTGCTGTTTTCTTCTTGATATCCTACGCTCTCTGCAATGCAGAGTAGTAATGATTCCACATCTGCCTCCCCTCTCTCTCTTAGAGCCTTCAAGAAGGAGCACAAAGCTAAACTCAAATTTAAAGTAACTTTAATTTTTCCTTCTGTTTCTACCTCTGGAAAATGCCCAAATGCTGCTTCTTTCATGAGATCCTTCATTTCATGGAGATTGTGCAAGAGATCACTGAACTCAGAGATACATGATGTTCTGGGGGGTTCTTCTTCTTCTTCATGAAATATCCACTGCATAATGAAAGAAGATTTGGGGAAATTGTCCACTGAAAAGATATGAGGATCAAGAAGGCAACGCAAGATAAATTTTAAGGATGAGGTATTAGGAAGAGATGAATATTTGCATAATGAAACTGTGTTTACAAGGAAATCCTGCAGCACTTTGTTTGCCAGGCAAGTGCCAACCCAGATCATGTTGCTCTTTGTTTTTTCATTCAGTTCTTGCTTGAAGATCATGAGTTTCACAAGATGCTGCTCAGCCTCACTGACTTCCCAGGACTTGATTTCCTCCAAGAATGCCTGGGCTTGTCCCAAAGCACTCACTGTTCCCTCTTCACACAATTTATTTACAGGTAGACTTGTTAGTCTCTCATAGGCAGTCTGGAGGCTGCTGCTCAGCTGATGAACATTTCTAAAGTCTTGTCCATGATGGGAAAGGATGATGTCCCACACTGGGATCAGCTGAAAGCCTCGGTCAATAACACACCAATTTGTGTTACTATTTACTAGCCTAGATTTCCACTCATCAAAGGAATCCACCTCTAACGGACCTCCTGTTTTGGTCACAAAGAGCAGAACATTTTCATTTTCCTCTTTTCTGTCTCTTCCCTTAAATGATGCCTCAGAACTGGATT